CGCCTATTCTTTTCTCCTTTATGACACCCCCCCCCCTTCCGACTTCGTGCAGAGACAGGCGTTTCACTTCCCACGCGCTGAAGCTTTAGGCCAGGCTTTCCTCCCTGGCCATGGCAACCGGCGGCTTGAGCCTGCAGCCCTTATTGGGGGGGTGGGGAGTTAATTGCACCTGCTTATGGCTCTTGAACCAGGATTTTTTTGGCCCTTGCTGTTCCCCAATACACGAAAATTGTACATAGTCATTACAAACGTTTGTATAGTAGGGATTCTCTTTTCATTTAGGACCAACCACAAAATAACAAGCTTTCCGGTTCTCCCACAACTGCTTATCAGGTGATGTTTACTACAAAAGAGGGGGGTGGGCTGTTTCAAGGCATGAAGAAGAAGCCCCTACTTTGCTGTTTGAATTGTTCTAAAATTGAATGTAGGGTCTGGTGCGTACTTACTGGATTAGGTGGTGCTTTGTGCAAAACTGGCTTCAAGATGCCAAAAAGGCTTTTGAGACAGAGAAGCAAAAAGGGATGCTACTCCCCCTATGAATGTTAATCAGATACCCCCTTCTATAGTAACTTAATTAGCCACCAATAGATAGAAAGGGGTGCATGTTTTACAATCTATTTGTACCCCAAGGCTAGCCCATTTCTGTTTAAGACTGAAATCTAAAGAATGCTTTGGTGCTGGTGGGGATGCCCTTTTTTGCTTTCAGCCTTTACTAACACTGTGAAGTGAGAGCCAGTCAAGGCACGGAAAACAGTGAGTTAATTTGCTCCCCCTTTCAGTTCTTTCCAAAATGAATGTTGTGCCATTGAATGAAAGTGCCATGTTGTGAAATGTTCAAATCACAAAAGATGGTTTCATTTATCACTCAAGTCATTCGAGGAGGGGGAAGTATATTTGCTTTTTGCCTTCCATTTATTTTGCTTTATGAAATAACCGTGATGTGTATACCGAGAGAGAAGGAGGGGGGGGGGGAAACATTCGTGACTGTGAAAGCTAATTTGTGAGAATTAAAACGAAGCTCTACTCATTGGCCCCACATAGCAAAATTAATATATCCCATAAAAGTCATAATGCACACTGGGGACGGTGTCCCAGAAGAGCCATTAGAAGGAACAAGCAAAACAAACAGTGATCGCCCTTTCACAGATGAGGGATCATTTCGCATCCATTCTGCGCTGATTTGTATCAAGACAGTCCTTACCAAATTACAAAGCAAGTGAGTGCAAAAAGTAGACTAGAATGTGCCCATCAAAGACAGTGGAGGGGCAGGTGGTCAAAGAAAGCCCATGTAGCTGTGGCAGTCAACTTCCCTCATACCATCTCCTCCAAGACCTAGGGCCTGGCCCATTCTTTGCTCCCCTTGCAGAGTGGTGGCAGTTACTCAGCTTGAAGGCTACAGGCTAACACTGCAAGGGCCTTTCAGCTCAGACTCACCTGCTGCACTGATCGTGGCTTTTGGCTCCCGTCTCCTCTTCCCACATCACTGCCAACTGCTGACTTGATACCATACACTGTAATTGCTGAAGAGTGTGAACCAAGCGGTCCCTATGGTACTGGCAGAGCTACTGAGGCTTGGCTCTGCAGTCTTCTGGCCTCTGGCAGCCCTCTTGGGAACAGCCCTTCCGGGAACTTCCCCAGAATGTTAAACGGCCAATTCACAGAGCATCTGGGATCCATCCACCGTTCTATACCCCTTGGAGCTGGGAGATCCCACAAAATGTGGACTCCTCCCATTCTTTCTGCCAACATATGGTATTGATATCAGAGGTCATTTCGCGGGGGATCGCAGTTCCCCCGGGTGAGGTACGGGGGCGGGGCACATGACGAAGTCCCGCCACCTGCTTCCGGCCGCCCCACTTCCGGCCCTCATTCAGCCAGGAGGAGGCAGGAGAAGAGGGAGGGTAAGTTGCTTTCTGCCTGCCTCTCCCCACCCCTGCCTGCCTGGGGCCAGGGAGGGCCTTCGCGCGGCTTCCTTGCACTCCTGCCGGCCTTGCAGGTCCACCGCCGGGCCCCTAATGGGGCTCGGCAGTGGAGCTGCAAGGCTGGCGGCAGTGGCCGGGACCGTTTGGGGCGGGGTGTGTGGCCTTATGACACACTTCCGGTGATGTCAGGGGGTGTGGCCTTATGACACACTTCTGGTGATGTCAGGGTGTGTGTCATATGCTAATGAATTATGCTAATGAGTTCCCCTAGCTCTTTTTCTACGAAACGACCCCTGATTGATATCATCTTGGGTGAGGGCGTAAGATACAGTGGGATTTCATGATGCCCCTTGTGTCACGGCCAAAAATGCAATCCATTGCCCAGAATGCATCATCCCATCCCAAAGTGACTGGGCTCACCCAGCTGCACAGAGAAGGCCTACTTTTTATGCCAGGAACCCAACAGAAACGTACGTGAATCTCAATGGAAGAGGCAAGACGTGCCCCCAATTTTACCACCCCCCAGCAAAACAACATGGCCCAGCTATCCAACGTTAATGAAATATCCCCCGCAGCAACAGAGGCTACTATGGCTCCTCATGGAAAGCCGGATGGTGATTTGGCATAGAGGAGGGAGCCCAAAACAGCTACCTCGGCACTGGCCCAGCAGGTTGTCTCCCTCAGCCAGAGCAACACGGAGTTATTAGAAAGTAAGACATCAGTACCTAGTGACCTTCCCTCACCCCAGGACTCGTCAGCAGTGTAGCAACATGAGAGGAGATGACTAATAATCCCTCATGATGCACAGATCTACAGCTGAATGAATAAGTCAGGCATATTGCAAAAAAAAAAAAATGGGCAGGCATCAAAAAGGTTTGATTCACTCCCAACAATATCTGTTTTATAGGCATGACATGCAAAGCCTGCTGCCAGCTCGTACGCAAAGGACGGCCCCAGCCACCTCCGTTATCTGTCAAGGACAAGCGCAACCCTCCCGGTATAATGAGGTCGCACACTGTGCTAAAAGGTTCGCTCTCTCGCATCTCTTCCCTTCTCTCTGCGAGTGCTGTCTGTATCCTCAAACCCATCATCTCAGTTCCTTTGTCTCAGAGACACTCACAGGTTCCACCCATCATTTCCTGCCCAGCCTGTCAGAGTCCCTGAACCCTCATGTCTAGAATTTTGCACCCCAATTTGGGTGACTGCAATAAAATTATGCATAAAAGCTCTACTATTGTTATTAAAAGACTTAATTGCATTCTTTTATATAGTCATATGAACTGCAGGATGCCACTTTGGATTTCAATAAGAAGGTAGGACAGAGAGGGTTCTTTTAATCAGTGGGGGTGGACAAGATTCACAGCGAGGGTAAAAAAGAGCACTCTTGGATATATTTCAGATTGAGCTGCCAAAAAAAAAGCCATGTATTTGAAAAGCAGTTTTTGTGGTTATTTGTTTTTTAAACCTCTTAATAGCAACACTGGGAACACAGATGGAAGAGTCATCCTTTTTATTTTAACCGCAGGGATTTCTGCTTCTGCCATGCATAGCTAGTACACAGAGCCATTATACAAGAATTCACATTCATTGTCTAGGGGCTGTGAGCTGTCCAAAAATAGGGGGTGTTCCTTAAGCATAATCACACTGGCACTGAAAACCGGTGGGGTCTCTACCACCCTGCTAAAGAGCACCCTAATTTCAGTTGCAGGATTTGACAATTTCCTTTCCCTATGATGGCTAAAATTCCACAATTGAGGTCAGTGGCAATCCAAATTCCTAGGCTCTGTAGGTCTGACAACATAGTTGCCTTTTAAATGGAATTCTGGTTTACAGTACAGGACGTTATGGGTCATGTGATAAGGGCAACAGTGTCCTGGCATTTGTCATAAGAACATTAGAAGGACCACCACCACATCCAGTGTTGTATGTTCAAAAGGGGCCCAGCAAGGAAACCTAACAAAAGGGGCCCAGCAAACCTAACAAGTTGAGCTTGACCTTCCTTGGTTATCCCCAGAATCTGCTATCCAGATATCTACTGTCTCAGCATCCAAGTCTCACAGCCCAAACCCCCACTGAAACAAATGAGAGCATCTGCTCTTATAAAGCTCCCATTCCTTGCACACAAAAACTTCCCCATGACAGCCAATGTTGTGTAGTGGTTAGCTTGCTGGACTAGGACCGAACAGATCCAGGTTCAAATCCCTACTTGGACAGAAACTCACTGGGCGATCCTGGGCTGGTTATTCTCTTTCAGCCTAACCTACCTCATAGGGTGCTTCTGAGGATAAAGGGAGGGAACGAGTTGCGAGTTGTCACCCTCTGGGGAAAGGGTGGGATAAAAAAACAATAAACAGATCTTTCACAGGAAAAGCCCATTGGAAACCAAGAGTGTTTAAAGAGCCATCTATGATCTTGCCCAAAAGTTAAAACCAACTTCAGAGGTCCAGCAGCACACTCCCCAAGCTGCGCGTACCTGCAGGTAGACACAAGGTGCAAGGTCTTCTATGCTGTGGCTCCCAGTTTATGGAATTCCGTCCCCATATGGGCTTGCC